GTGGACCAATCAGAAGTGAGAGTAATAATGAAGCCGGAATGAAGGCAATAACCAATCAGAAGGGAGCTGAGGGAACCAATAGAATTTTAGCAGTAAGTAAGCCATTTCAGAGGCAAAAAGTGACATAGAGCCTCTGGTCCGGGGAACCGGATGATGCTGTCAGGAGAGTTTGACCCTGCTTGGGAGTCCCGCCGCTCTTTTCATGGGGCTCTCCGCCTTAAGAGAAGCATTAGGCTCAGCATCAGTACAGGTGAACCGGGTGTCAGGGACTCAGGGATGCAGGATGCACTACCAATTTGCTATTCCCATCCTTCTATATTGTTAGCCCAGGTGACTCCTCTTCTGGGAAGCCTGTCGGCATTTCCACTGGCTGAAAGAATTGCTCACGATATGGGGAGGTAGTGTTGGTCTGGAATGATTTGTGTTAGATTCAAATTTCTCAGATCACAATCTGAAGTGTGCAAACAATGAAAGCAAGATTATGTTAAGTCTGCCCCCACGCCCTCCTTGTTCTCAGTAGGGCAACATTTGACAATGCCATTTTGGAATAACAGTGGGTCTCAAAGTGTGGGTAGCTGGGGGAGGGGAGGAGCCAAACTTTCAGGGGCTCCTGGTTCCAAGGATGGGGAGATAGTGACAAGACATTGTGTCTTGGCCTGAGAGGAGGTAGGCACCTCAACCCAATGTCGCTGTATGTTGGATGGGATCTATGCCTGCTGTGTTCAGTTCATGTGCCAAGAACTAACTGTAAAGAAAGCCAAATCCTTGCTCTCATGAAGCCCACACTTAAAGGGGAGAGAGACATAAACAAATAACTTCACAAATCAATTTCAGTTACATGTCAGGATGTGTGTTATGAAGTAGAAGAACCCCCTTGCTTTAGCTTCCTTAGCATTGATATAATTCCCTTTTCGTCCTTTTCCTTCTGTTCCCCTTGAAAAATATGAAGGCAACAGAATCAACAGAACTTGACTCACTGGAAGTGTGTGAGCCTGGGCATCATCTGTGTGAGCCTGTTTCCTCATCTGTCCATGACGGAAATTGATCGGGATTGACGCAGAAAAACCTTATTCCAACTGCAAGACCCCTTCACTGCCTGCCTCTCTCAGCCTCTTTGTCCCTCGAGGATTTTCTGAACTCTTTCTCCATAATTCTCTGTCCCTCCTATGTCATTCAGGTCCCCTAGTCCCCCAGCCCTGTCAAGAACTGAGAGTTCCTGAGGGCAAGATGGAGAGCCAAGGTGCAATAGGATGGACCCATTTAGGACCTGAGCTCTAGATTCTAGAGTGGTTTCTCAGCTGGGACTGCACACAGAGGGGCACACAGAACACACACACACACACACACACACACACACACACACAGCAAGACCTATCCTCGGGAAAGGAGAGCTAATATTTTTTGTTCTGAGTACTCAGCCTGCATTAAGATACTCAGTCCGCCCTACAATCCTATGAGATAGGTCTTGTTACGAAGCCTCTTATACAAATAAGCTAGCTGGGACCCAGAAAGTTACGCGACTGTTGAAGGGTACATGACTAATTACTATCAGAGCTGGGATTCAAATTTAGATCTTCTAAGTTGAGAGCCCAAGGTCTTACCTTAATCCAGGCTCAGCCCTGCCCAAGCATTTAGTGGGAAAGCCCGGGTCTTTTGAGGTGGCAGTGACCAGGGCTTCGCCCCCACCCAGAGACAAGGTGAGGCGCGTCCGCACACCCCTCGGGGGGGGGCTGGGGTGAGGTCGGGGGTGTCCCTTCTGGCCCCGCACAGCCCATCGCGCACAAAGCCCCCTGTGCCCTGAGGCGGAAGCGCTTCCTTAGACTTCACAGCAAAGGGAGGAGGAGGCGGGCGCCCTCAGGGACGCTCACTTTCTGCTCCATTGCAGAGTGTGTCCCTCCTGATGACCTAGTCACGGACCTCTCCACCACATGGTAGGCTTTATAAAGTGCTTTTAATGGATTCTTACAAAATCTCTGTGAGATAAAACGTGTTGGAATCATTTTATTCCCACTTTACAGGTGTCGAAACAGAAGCTCAGGGTAAGGAAGAGTCCTGCCCAAGCAAATAAACTGTGAATCTGGATCACACAGCCAGATCTTGTGATTCTAAATTGTTTCTGTGGCATGTTTGTTTAGAGTCAAGGGGCCTCCTGAAACAACTCTGCAGGCTGCGCCAGCCTCACATGGGACAGATATGTCTTTGCACATAGCTGGGAATGACCCAAAATGAGATGCACATCCTTCTGTATTAGGTACTTGCTGAACTTTCGGTGCTTCCGTTAGAGGATAATGCAGGTGATTCGGACATGTCACAGTCAGAGTCATTTGGGTTTCCAGGAAAGCGGACAGTAAAAGGTGATGAAAACAGTAAGGGCAAGAGGAATCAGAGAACAGAGGCAAATATCAGAAGACCACGTGGAAGGGAATTAATAAAACAGGAAGTGTAAGATGAAGGAAGAAGAAGAGCGAGTGTGTTGGGTGTGCTGGAGAGGAGAGGCAGCTCGCCGGCCTGTCCTCATCGCTGCAGTGGCTTCCTAACAAGCGGCCTCATCCAGGCAATTCCCCTCTTAAGCCACACGACAGATGCGGGTAAAATGTGGATCCTTTAACGTTCCCCTGTTGCTCAAATGCCTACAACCATTCCCATCATCCCCAAGAGAAAATCTAAACGCCTCAGGTTAGCAACTCATGACCCGTCCTCACCTGGCCAAGAGGGGCTCCTTCAGACGTGTTCTGACCCATTTCCTCATCCATTTGGCACAAAGGAGGGAAGGGGAGAGGGCATTTCAGGCTGTGAGAATTGTGCAGCTGACTGCCATGATCACTGCTGAGTGTATTTCTCATCTCTTGCCTGCAAAACACAGTGTCTAAATGAAGCCAACTTTCTTACTGCTAATACAGGAGGGAGTGGATCAGAGAGCAAGCTAGGGACACTCTGCTTCTAGGGTCAGTGTCATTTAGTGCATTCACAATGTCGTGCCACCGACACCTCCATGTAGTTCCAAAATATTTCCATTAAGCACTTCCTCTCCACTCTGTCCTCTCCCCAGGCCCGGATGACCACCTATGCATGTTTCCTCTTTACGGAGTTGCTGACTCTGGATGTCCCACAGAAACGGGGTCCTGTAATATGTAGCCTCTTGTGTCTGGATTCTTTCACTGACGTGTGTTTGAGGTTCATTCCTTTTGCGTCACGTGTCAGTACTTCACTCCTTTGGTGGCTGAATACTATCCTGTTTGTTGATGAAAAAATTAATCTAATGGTCAATCTAAGAAGAAGTAGAGAATTGCTTTTCAAGCCCATTGGAGGATTAGAACCCAGGAGACAAGCTTTCAGAAAGCTCTAAGGACTGTTCCACCCATTAGAGGTCAAAGCTCAAGTTAAGTAAGTTTTTGAGTCAAGGACTTATACTTCAGATAAGCTACTGACAGTTTCGACAGCCCACATCTGGACATTGTGACCTCTTACAAAACTCGACGGAGTGTTGTCCCCTGAGGAGTTACCTTGGGAAAACTGTTGCTGACATGAAGCAGGCACTCCTGTCTTCTCAGGAGGTCTGGCTGACGCAGACGCACATGTACACTAAAGGGGGGCGGGCGGCCCTGATGGCAGAGAGAGAATTCAATGTATGAAAAACAGTTTTCTTGCTTTATCTTAAAAGTAAGTTTGTTTCATCACATGCTGTGGGTGGATCTACAGTGTGTTTACCCGGTCCTCTGCTGATTTTCCTTGTTTCCACCCTTTTGCGCTCATGAATGGTGCTGCTATGAGCCCACAGGTTCGTGTATTTGTTTGAAAACCTGTTTTCATTTCTCCCGAGGACCTACCCTGGGGCGCAGCTGCCGGCTCAGACGGGGACGCTGCGCTTACCGGTCTGGGCGGCCGGACGTCTCCCTCAGTGTCTGCGCCGTGTGCACCCCCGCCTGGCAACGAATGAGCCTTCCAATTTCTACACGTTCTCACCCTCTTTTGCTTTTTACCTTGTATTCTTTTTTATAGGCATCCTAGTGGTTGTGCTGCAGTAAACTTTCTAAAAAAATCTGACTTTTTGTAACCACAAAGTCAAAAAAGTCAAAATGGTTAAGAATCTAAGAATTTGCCAGAGACAGAGGGGGACAAGCAAAGCGCCTGGCTGGGAACCTGGCCCTGGTGGCCCTTGAGCTGTCTTTGGACTCCAGGGACGTCTGTGCTCCGTGCTGTGCAGACAGCTGGCTAGGGAGCTGGCTGGTCCACGGAGTGTGACTGACACGCCGGCCCCGGGTGGGGGATTGAAACCCTGTCAGCCTCAGCTGTCTGATCTATAGACTGAGCATTAGTAGCTGTGTCCTCCCCTCCTAAAGGAGCCCAGAGCAGACCAGACCAGACCCGGGTCCATGACCGGAGGGGCTTGAAGCCTGGATCTGCACGTCGGCCTCCCGGTGGCTTTGCGTGAGGACCCTCAGCAGGCCCTCAGGAAATGTTCACACATAGGAGCTCATAAACAGTTCGCCTAGTGCTAAAAAGGACAAGCATTAGACAGTAGTGACAAGGTAGAGGGAAAAGAGTGACAGTGAACACATGTATGTTCATGTATGTTGTGCTCTACACTGGAATTTGACACAACATTGTGAAATGATTATAACTCAATAAAACATGTTAAAAAAGAACAAGCTATGGGCTGTACGTTTCGTTAGCAAGAGGAGGAGACATGAGTTCACGCTGAAGTGAAACATAATGAAAAGGCTAGGAGTCTGCTGAGCGCGGACTCTGTATTTTTCTCCTACTGGTTGTGCTGAAATGGATCTTTTTACTGCCTCCTGCGTGCGGAGGCCCTGACTCATAAATGTTTAGAACTTAATTTTCAGGATCCTCATGGGGGCGGTGGTGTCTGGCCAGCTGTGTGAGCTCGGGGCCCCCACCCCCAACACTTCCCACCCCTGCAGGACCTCAAATCCACCCCCCCCCGTTGAAATGCTTCCTCTCCCCTCCTCCTGCCCTGGGGCAAAAATCGTTTCTAAAAAGTTCCCAAGTTGAGGCCATTGTAAGCAGAGAAAAGACAATCACAAAGGAACAAAACACAGGAGTAAGGAGAGCTCTTCCCCCTTTCAGACACAGGGTCGTTATCACAACATTCCGTCAGGGCTACTGGAAACGGAGGCCTAGGCTCCACATTCAGCCCCAGTTACTGGGAGCACTGGCTGCTACCAATGAGAGGCTGCCTCATTCTCTGGAGAAGCTTCCTGGGCCAAACTTAAGCCACTGCCCCTGGGAGCTTGCGCCTCCTGGGGGATTGGACGGCCAGTCTGTGCGTGACTGATGGGGTACAAAGCTGGCCCCTGCCTCAAGCTGGGACCCCCTCTGTAGGACAATGCTCCACAGAGACCCCAGCGCCACTCACCTTTTCTTCCTGCCTTCCCCAGCTCCCCTCACTCCCTTCTCCAGAGAGCACCCTCTCCATAAACCATTTGTGCCTGAACCCCTGTCTCAGGCTCTGCTTTTAGGGAACCTAAGTCAGGGGCTGAGCCAGAGCTAGTTTGTGCACAGTGGCATTCAGCCGAGTAGCATACAGGTCCTGAAATTCAGCCCAAACTCTGTGATCTAAGCTATGCAAAGTGTAGCGGAGCTTGTCCTCAATTGCCAAAAGCCACTGATTAGTGTAGACTCAGCCCTGGAAGGTGCTGGGATTTGAAACCCAGGACTCCAGCTTCAGAGCCCCTCACCTCTCAGTCACAGTGTGATGTCACCTCCTTATATCAAAATAAAGAAGACTAGGGTAGGATGCGGAGAGCTGTATAAGCCAAAAGGTGCCTTTGTGACCCCAC